TGAGGTGCTGACCAAGTGTTGTTACTTTGAAGCTGATCCATCATCCAAGATGGCCGCCAGCTGGGGACTTAGTTTAACATAGGACCCTATGGGAAATACATACGAATGTCTTCTTTTAGAGAACCACTGAATGAAATGAAACCAAACATGGCATGAATGTTCCTTATGAAGTGCTGACCAAGTGTTGTTACTTTGAAGCCGATCCATCATCTAAGATGGCCGCCAGCGGGGGACTTAGTTTAACAAAGGACTCTATGGGAAATACATACGAATGTCTTCTTTTAGAGAACCACTGAATGGAATGAAACCAAACATGTCATGAATGTTCCTTATGAAGTGCTGACCAAGTGTTGTTACTTTGAAGCCGATCCATCATCCAAGATGGCCACCAGCTGGGGACAGTGTTTTACAGAGGACCCTATGGACAATACATACAAATGTCTTCTTTTAGAGAACCTATGAATGGATTGAAACCAAACATGGCATGAATGTTCCTTATGATGTGCTGACTAAGTGTTGTTACTTTGAAGCTGATCCTTCATCCACGATGGCCGCCAGCGGAGGACTTCCTTTAACATAAGATCCTATTGGAAATACATACAAATGCTTCTTCTAGAGGTGCACTGAATGGAATGAAACCAAACATGGCATAAATGTTTCTTATGAGGTGCTGATGAAGTGTTGCTACTTTGTTGCTGATTTACTGTTCAAGATGGCCACCAGGATTTTTTATTAAATTACAGGGCCAATATTAAATCAAATTTGACCTCACTCATTATTAGGGTATCTGTTATGATTTTAGTCTATTTTAAAATGATTTCCAAAACCAAAGTAGAATCAGGTGAGTGACACAGGCTCTTGAGAGCCTCTAGTTAATGAAAAAAATCCCATAACTCAGAAATGATAAATGAAAAATTTATAAAATTCTAAATGGAGCTTACATCAATAGATATAAACAATTCACCAAAGTTTCATAAGAACTGCTGAAAGCATTTTTGATTTTTTGTCCGAAAACTGGAAAACCCCCCTTTTTATACGACCGCAAAAATGAAAAATTTTTTGGTCGTATATTGGTATGACGTTGGCGTCGTCGTCGTCGTCGTCTGGCGTCGTCCAGCGTCGTCCGAAGACACATTGGTTTTCGCACTCTAACTTTAGTTTAAGTGAATGGATCTCCAATTAATTTTACCATAAGGTTCTATACCACGAAAGGAAGGTTGGGATTGATTTTGGGGGTTATGGTACCAACAGTTAAGGAATTAAGGGCCAAAAAGGGGCCAAAAATAAGCATTTTTGTAAATTCCAGACAATAACTTGTGTGTAAGTGTATGGATCTCTCTGACATTGTACCACAAGGTTCCATATCACAAAGGGAATGCTCGGATTGATTTTGGGGGTAATTGCCTCAAAATTTTAGGAATTAGGGGCCAAAAAAGGGGCAAAAAACAAGCATTTTTCTAGTTTCATGACAATAACTTGTGTATAAGTGTTTGGATATTTCTGAAATTGTACTACAAGGTTCCATATCACAAAGGGAAAGCTGGAATTGAGTTTGGGGGTAATTGCCCGAAACGTTTAGGAATAGGGGGCCAAAAAGGGGCCAAAAATAAGCATTTTTCTAGTTTCCAGACAATAACTTGTGTTCAAGTGTATGGATCTCTCTGAAATTGTACTGCAAGGTACCATACCACAAAGGGAAGGCTGGGATTGAGTTTGGGGGTGATGAATCATAAGGGGGTTCAAAAAATTGGGGGGGGGGATTTTTTTTTTTCTTTTTTTTTCTTTTTTTCCTTTTTTTTTTCTTTTAAAATTTTCCATTTTAAGTTGGTTATTTCTGATTTATATTTAAAAGCAAATAATAATGATATGGTATATAATAAGTATTGTGCAATAGCAAGAAATTTTCAATTGCACAATAGCAAGAAATCTTCAATTGCACAGTATTGCGCAATAGCAAGAAATCTTCAATTGCACAGTATTGTGCAATAGCAAGAAATATCCAATAGCACAATATTGCACAATAGCAAGAAATTGTCAATTGTACAGTATTGCACAATAGCAAGAAATATTCAATTGCACAGTATTGTGCAAAAGAAGATACTTCCTATAAATTGCTTATTTCTTGATCAATTTCAATGGGGTTTTATTCTTGAATTCTTGGGGTTCTTTAATATGCTGAATCTAACCGTGTATTAAGTTTTTGGATTTTGGGCCCTGTTTTTAAATTGGTCCACATTGAGGTCCAAAGGGTCCAAAATTTAACTTTGTTTGATTTCGTCAAAAATTGAATTATTGGGGTTCTTTGATATACCGAATCTAACCGTGTATTTAGATTCTTAATTTTTGGTTCCGTTTTCAAATTGGTCTACATTAAGGTCCAAAGGGTCCAAAATGAAACTTAGTTTGATTTTAACAAAAATTGAATTTTTAGGGTTCTTTGATATGCTGAATCTAAACATGTATTTAGATTTTCGATTATGGGCCCAGTTTTCAAGTTGGTCCAAATCAGGGTCCAAAATTAAACTTTGTTTGATTTCAACAAAAATTGAATATATGGGGTTCTTTGATATGCTGAATCTAACCATGTATTTAGATTTTTGATTTTTGGGCCCCGTTATCAACTTTGTCCACATTGAGGTCAAAAGGGTCCAAAATTAAACTTTGTTTGATTTCATCAAAAATTGAATTCTTGGGGTTCTTTGATATGCTGAATCTAACCATGTATTTAGATTTTGGATATTGGACCATAATAGGTGAATGTCCAATTTAAAATTTTTAAGTTTTTAGACCACATTCATTCTGTGTCAGAAACCTATGCTGTGTCAAATATTTAATCACAATCCAAATTTAGAGCTGTATCAAGCTTGAATGTTGTGTCCATACTTGCCCCAACTGTTCAGGGTTCGACCTCTGCGGTCGTATCAAGCTGCGCCCTGCGGAGCATTTTATTTTATGAATAAAACCCTGTAACTCGAAAACGTAAAATCTAAAATATATAGAAATCGAAAGGGAGCTCATGTCAATAGATATAAACAATTCACCACAATTTCTTGCAAGTTGGTGAAAGCATTCTTGAGTTATTGTCCGAAAACTGGAAAATCCCCCTTTTTAGCTCACCTGGCCCAGAGGGCCAAGTGAGCTTTTCTCATCACTTGGCGTCCGTCGTCCGTCGTCCTGCGTTTGTCGTCCGTAAACTTTTACAAAAATCTTCTCCTCTGAAACTACTGGGCCAAATTTGACCAAACTTTGCCACAATCATCATTGGGGTATTTAGTTTAAAAAATGTGTCCGATGACCCCGCCAGCGAACCAAGATGGCCGACATGGCTAAAAAATAGTACATAGGGTAAAATGCAGTTTTTGGCTCATATCTCTGAAACCAAAGCATTTAGAGCAAATCTGACACGTGGTAAAATTGTTTATCAGGTCAAGATCTATCTGCCCTGAAATTTTCAGATGAATCTGACAACCCGTTGTTGGGTTGCTGCCCCTGAATTGGTAATTTTAAGGAAATTTTGCAGCTTTTGGTTATTATCTTGAATATTATTATAGATAGAGATAAACTGTGAACAGCAATAATGTTCAGCAAAGTAAGATCTACAAATAAGTCAACTTGACCAAAATGGTCAGTTGACCCCTTAAGGAGTTATTGCCCTTTATAGTCAATTTTTAACCATTTTTCGTAAATTTTTGTAATCTTTTACAAAAATCTTCTCCTCTGAAACTACTAAGATAAATTTAACCAAACTTGTCCATAATCATGATTAGGGTATCTAGTTTTAAAAATGTGTCAGATGACCCCGCCCGCAAACCAAGATGGCCGACATGGCTAAAAAATAGTACATAGGGAAAAATGCAGTTTTTGGCTCATATCTCTGAAACCAAAGCATTTAGAGCAAATCTGACTGGATAAAATTGTTCATTAGGTCAAGATCTATCTGCCCTGAAATTTTCAGACCAATCAGGCAACACTTTGTTGGGTTGCTGCCCCTGAATTGGTAATTTTAAGGAAATTTTGCAGCTTTTGGTTATTATCTTGAATATTATTATAGATAGAAGCTGTAAACAGCAATAATGTACAGCAAAGTAAGATCTACAAATAAGTCAAACATGACCAAAATTGTCAATTGACCCCTTAAGGAGTTATTGCCCTTTATAGTCAATTTTTTTACAATTTTCATAAATTTTGTAAATTTTTGTAAATTTTTACAAAATATTTTCCACTGTAACTACTGGGCCAAGTTCATTATAGATAGAGATAATTGTAAGCAGCAAGAATGTTCAGTAAAGTAAGATCTACAAACACATCACCATCACCAAAACACAATTTTGTCATGAATCCATCTGTGTCCTTTGTTTAATATGCACATAGACCAAGGAGAGCGACACAGGCTCTTTAGAGCCTCTAGTTTTAATGAATAAAACCCCATAACTCGGAAACTTAAAATCTAAAATTTATAAAAAACAAAAGGGAGCTCACGTCAATAGATATAAACAATTCACCAAAGTTTTATGCAAATTGGTTAAAGCGTTTTTGAGTTAATGTCCGACATGTTGACGACGGATGTACGGACGGACAGACGGACAACGGTATACCATAATACGTCCGGTAAACGGGCGTATAAAAAGGAATTGTCTCAAAATGAAAATCTTCTATTTGTCAAAAATTCAGGAAATGTTGTTATGTTTTATACAAGAACCACAAGGATACATAAAGTAATTTAGAGAAATCTTTTATTTGGTAACTTGCAAAATGTAAACTCAAAACTTGAAACTATAAACATTTTTTAATAAAAAAAAATATTAAATTGCAATTTATAAGAATTAGTTATGCAAACTATTTAGTGACCTGCTGAAATTAACACTCATTTTTCTGTCCATCACCACACCTCAATAGAAGACTAAAGTTATGAATTGAAATTATCTGCACAGCTCTTTCAATCTTTCCACTAGTGATTTCCATCACTTTGATAATTAACATTGAAATTTCTGTTTTTGTAGATATAGACATGAAATGGTTAGTGACGACTTTCGGTTGTATGTTTTTGGTGGTGGTACAGCACACTCAGCTTTTCCTCTAGATAAGGTAATTTATAGCAGTTTCTAACAGTTCAAACCTAAAGTAACAGTACCCAAATTGCACCGATTTAGCAAAAATAGCAGTGGAAATTTTACAAGTTTTCTTAGAGAATAAAGAATTTGTATTTTTATGATTTTACATTATATACACCTTTCAACATAGCTAAATATATTTATATATATACAGTCACAGTATGTATCAACAGATGAAGTATTCAGTGAAAAAGTAAAATCTACAGAATCACCATCCGATGTCCACAATAAGTCAATTTAATAATCAGCAATTCAAATAATATATGTCACAGCCATCCATTTTAAAAAAATAGTAAGCATTGTCAAATTGTTCTAAATATTTGGAGAAATAAAACAAAACATTAGTTATTAGATTTTTACAGATGTGAATTTAAGCATGGATGCAATTTGCTGCGCCCTTGCGAAAATGGTCCAGGATATCTCAGGAAATCAGTAGATTATCTGAAGATATTCTTGGAAAATGTCACAAGACAATCTTGGGATATCCTAGTCCTGAGACCAGGGTTAAGTAGAGACGGTATTGAAACAAGATAATCATGGGATTTCCTGGGATCCGTACTATACAGAATCCTGAGATATTCTTGCGATCTTTGAGATGGCACTAGAAAATCCTTACATCAGGAATCAATCCTGAGATCAGGATTTAATCAATTAAAGTTGTCCTGCTAGAATCCTGGGAAAATCTTGAGAATATCCAGATGAAATCCTTGATTCAAGATTAACTAATTATCACCATATTAAGACAAATTTAAATAAATATAGAACAGCAATTAAATTAAGACATGATTTAATTTTCCACATTATGATGTGTACATCAGTATAAAGGAATAGGCATAATTTTGATGATATAATATCATCACATAAATTCTAATTGTATCACAAATGTCCTGTTTTTTGTCTCTCACTAATCCTCAAGCAGTTCAATCTTCTATTCCATGGAACAACATTCACATTTCACAAAATTCTTATGTCATAGATCAAATCATTCACATTACATGAACACATGCAATTATGCTATAACTGTACTCACTACAAAAGTCAAAAAGTCTGAAAAGACCAGTTTTTGTCTGAATTTGCATGAATTTTTACTCGACATTCTTAATTTGTCTGAATAATTTTTAAAAATTCTTGACATAGTATGAATTTGTCTAATAAGGTTCTTGATTTCTCTTGACAAGTGTCTTGACAGTATGAACATTGCCTTAAAATTTCTCGACACTTCCTGTATCATCTGATAAGAGTCTGGATTAGTCTCTACCAATTCTTGACTGTCTTAAATTTGTCTCGATCTGTCTTGACATATTCTTGACATTCTTAATAATGTCTGAATATGTCTCGATACATTCTTGACAGTCTTAAATATGTCTTGACACTATCTCAACAGTATAAATTTCGCCTGAAATGTGAACAGACTTATTCTGCACTGTTTATGACATTCTATTGCTGTTATATACTCCTTTTTATTATGGCTAAACTAAACTTTGAAGAATCAAGGATTAATTTGGTATAGTAAGATACCCTTTTGGTGCAACTAAGTTGGATTACCCTGAATAATCCCCCATGTAGTTTAATTTTGATTTATTTTTATTAAACATTTAAGTAATTGTTTTCACTTGGAATATAAGTCGAAGGTATTGACAAACAGCATTTAGATTTTTGCCGTTCGCAAAACTGCCAGTCAAATTTGCTTTACTAAAATAGGTGTCTTGTATCTCTTTTGGACCCCACAATTCATCTTTTGGGTTTGTGTGGCTAAAAAAGGAGGGGGGGGGGGGGGGCTTTCGTTTAGGTCAAAGAATTTGTTCCCATCTTGATTCAAAAACCTTATTGTCGAGCCTTTGACTTTAGTCGAAAAAGCGAGACATAGCGATCCTACATTCCGTCGTTGGCGGCGTCCACAAATATTCACTCTGTGGTTAAAGTTTTTGAAATTTTAATAACTTTCTTAAACTATCCTGGATTTCTACCAAACTTGGACAGAAGCTTGTTTATGATCATAAGATAGTATCCACAAGTAAGTTTTGTAAAAATAAAATTCCATTTTTTCCGTATTTTACTTATAAATGGACTTAGTTTTTCTGCCGGGAAATATTACATTCACTCTGTGGTTAAAGTTTTTAAAATTTTAAAATTTTAATAACTATCCTGGGTTTCTACCAAACTTGGACAGAAGCTTGTTTATGATCATAAGATAGTATCTAGAAGGAAATTTTGTAAAATAATAAATCCATTTTTTCCGTATTTTACTTTTAAATGGACTTAGATTTTCTGCCAGGAAACAACACATTCACTCTGTGGTTAAAGTTTTTAAAATTTTAATAACTTTCTTATACTATTTTGGATTTGTACCAAACTTGGACAGAAGCTTGTTTATGATCAAAAGCTAGTATCTAGAAGGAAATTTTGTAAAATAATAAATCCATTTTTTCCGTATTTTACTTTTAAATGGACTAAGATTTTCTGCCAGGAAACAACACATTCACTCTGTGGTTAAAGTTTTTAAAATTTTAATAACTTTCTTATACTATTTTGGATTTGTACCAAACTTGGACAGAAGCTTGTTTATGATCAAAAGCTAGTATCTAGAAGGAAATTTTGTAAAATAATAAATCCATTTTTTCCGTATTTTACTTTTGAATGGACTTAGATTTTCTGTCAGGAAACAACACATTCACTCTGTGGTTAAAGGGAAAATTCGCGATTTTTTACTTATCATCTTATTATGTTCATAATACCATAAAAAAACATATTCACCAAGTTTTATCTGGATATGAAAACTAATAAAGAAGAAAATTGGAAATTATTAATTCTATTTATTGGAACTTTCTGACTTATGTGACGTAGTTTAAGTCTTTTTGCATGCCGGGAGTGGAATTAATCTCCTTTAAGTCTTGTTCGTTAATCATCTAATAACGCGATTTAAAGCGCATCGACGACTTTTGGCGTAGCTATTAACCAACTAATAATTAAGAAAGTAAAGTGATCAGCCGTGCAACTTTTAAAAATAAAATGTACGATTTATATTTTAAGAATTTCTGATATGATTATAGTCATTATAGTAATAAAAGTAAATCATACAATAGAATATTTTTATGAATTTTTTTTCCGACGGATATTTTCAACAAACATATAACTGATAGTGTATTAAAAATGCATGTTTGTATTCTCACCTTTTACTTCAGTCTAGCAAACATTTCCCGCTAGTACTGTGTAAAATACAATGTGTATTGTACTTTGACACTTAGTGACTACCTGTTGAATGCGTGATTAAATTCAAGGTATTTAAAGGTTTGCATTCTGTTATTCTTATCTTTTGATCTTCACTCAGTGAAGAATTTTAGCCGTCACGGTTCACCGTTCCAGGTGTGAACATCATTTCGCATGAATGATAAACGGGTGTGATAGTTTGAGACAGAAAATAAAAAAAGAAATGTAATTATTTTGGGGGAGTAATATGGTGGCACAATAACTGAATAACCGTGGTATATTTTTATATTTTCCGTAAGCTCAGTTTAAAATGAATTATGACTGCCTAATATTTTTGCAACAATGAAATACTGAATTAATTTAATTGAATAAATAATAATGGCATTCTAAACACGAGTGTATGAACTAAAAATTGTACTATTTTAAATTAGAATCGGTGACCTTGAATATTTGAAATAGATAATTACCAATTGCAATTATATAATTTGGTCCGTCCAAAACGATCTTTATTTACATATTCAGGAATTAATGTCCTAATCAAAATATTTTAAATCTCACAACGTATAAATACTTCAGCCATTTGAAGAAAGATGTTTAAAAAATTGACAGGAAATTTAAGGTCAACTTTGTCTTATTGGAATGAGATCGAATAATTACGAACAAAAATTATTTTCGGGTTTGAAAAACATAAAAAAAAATGATAAAAGAGAAATGTGGGTTTGAGACAGAAAAAATAATTATTTGGGGAGGAATATGGTGGCAATATACCTGAATCGCCGTTATATATATTTTTTTATATTTTGCGTTAGCTCAGTTTTTAAATAGATGGGTGAGTCTTTTGTTGTAACATCGGAATTCTGAATAACTTTCAATGAGATAATTTTATAAATAAAAATGGCCCACGAAAACGAGCATATAAACCAAAAACTGTGCTATTTTGAACTATCATCGGTAACTTTGAATATTGAAATGTGCAGAGAAAATTATCAGTTACATTAATATAGTTTGGTCTGTCCAAAGCGATCTACATTTACCTAATCAGGAATGTCCTTATTAAAATATTCTACATCTCACAACAAATACTTTAGCTATTTGACCAACGATGTTTAAAAAAAATTTACAGAATCAATCTAACGTCAACTTTCCTTTAATGAACGGAGACAGACCGGCGGAATCAATTTTCAATGTGCTTTATATCTTGTACCTTTGCAAGACTTATCATTCATTCATAAACCATGTCTATACCGCAGACATATATTTAACTGACAAGAATACTCCTGGTTTTACACTAGTAATTTGTTGGGGTCCTTTATAGCTTGCTGTTCGGTGTGAGCCAAGGCTCCGTGTTGAAGACCGTACTTTGACCTATAATGGTTTACTTTTATAAATTGTGACTTGGATGGAGAGTTGTCTCATTTGCACTCATACCACATCTTCTCATATCTATAAGCAGTATATTCCTTAAATTTCTGTGATTTAATACCAAGAAAGAAAAAAATCCCGAAATTAATTTGATACTTTGATACTCAATATTTTTCCTGGAAAATATTCACATCCTCATTCGGTCTGAAAATAAGATAAGAAACTGGTATACAGAACATGCAGAAGTGTGAATGTCATAAAACCTTGTTATATCAGAAACCATTATAAATGTGAACCTGTATACGTAAGACCTCATGGGACGTCACCTAACCACATACAGGTAATATACAAGTAGCTCTGTTATACCCGGAAATGTCAAGGTTAATCACTGCAAAGTAAATTCTG